AGATGTTTCTCAGAGGAAAAAAATTAAAAACGAATGAGTCAAAAGTTGACATATAAGAGTTCAGAGCTATAAAATAAATATGAATAGCAGCTTGGATTATTTGTTGAATTTGAAGAGAAATGTTTGAGTTAATATTGAGATCTTACAAAACCTGAGCAAAAACGGAATCTCTTATGAAACTCTTGATTAAATGAGATCACCGGGTAATTTTCTCAGTAAAAAAAGAGTCTTCATTTGCTCTATTTGCTCTCCATTTAATCTCATTGCTTCTAGAAGCAACAGTTAAAATATTAAGAAGATCTCATTTGATATATTTTTTTTATTTGGGTAGTTAAGATGCCATACAATGACCAGCCTCCAAAACACAACGTGACCATCAATATCTACTCAGGAGTTAAATGAGATTTGCTTTTGTTCAGGTTAATATTATTACTAGAGCTCGTCGGATGCACTCCGGCAGGCATCGGGAGATGGACGACTTCCTCTGGGAATGAGAATAGAGTTTGTTAAGGTGAAGCGGGGCTTCTATGAATCGGTTAGTGTTGTAGGCCTCAGGGTGGGGTCAAGGTCAACATGTGGAGCGAGTGAGTCATCAATCAATGTGATCCACCGCCCTCCGCATGTTTGTCATCAATCACAGTGATGGAGCCGTCCCTGCGTTTGGAGGGGGGGTCAGAGGTAATTGTTAATTAGTGACTAAACCGTATAGAACAACAGATGCCAGACCGTGAGACAAGAAGCCAATTGATGTTTCTTTCACGTATGTGTGTGTGTGTGTGTGTGTTAGAGAGATCTTCCATGCCCTCAGGAGAGGAAACTGATCTTGATGTCTTTGTCTAAAAAAATCCTGGTGTTCTGCAAACTGTAATTTACATACACACACACACACACACGTTTATCTAGCTATCTAAATGGACACTTCCCATTGACTTCTGTTATTCTTAAAGGGATAGACACTAAAAAATGATGTGCTTACCTTCGTATCACACAGTTTAAGGAAGAAAAATATTTATTGCACTTTTCCATGCAGTGCAAGCATCAAATTTATTATTTTAAATGTCCGTATGTCTTTTGTCTAAATATTAGTTTGTTCCTCACAAAAAGTAATTGAATGGCTTCAAAAGACCTGGAATATAGTGCGCAAGTTGTATGGACTACCTTTATGATGCTTTTTTGGCAATACAAACTATTATTTAGCTTAGATTTTTATTTTTTTTATTTTTTAAAGAAATAAATACTCTTATTCAGCAAGAATCCATTAAATTGATCAAAAGTGACATTAAAGACATTTATAATGTTACAATATATTTTTATTTTCAATAAATGCTGGTCTTTTGAACTTTCTATTCATCGAAGAATCCTAAAAAATAAAACATTATGTATTATGGTTTCCACAAAAATATGAAGCAGCACCACTGTTTTCAACACTGATGATAATAAATGTTTCTTGAGCAGCAAATCAGCATATTAGAATGATTTCTGAAGATCATGTGACACTGAAGACTGGAGTAATGATTCCGAAAATTCAGCTCTGATCACAGGAATAAATTATATTTTAACATATATCACAATAGAACACAGTTATTTTAAATTCTAATATTATTTCACAATATTCCTGTTTTTACTGTATTTTTAATCAAATAAATGCAGCCTTGGTGAGCAGAAGAGACTTCTTTCAAAAACTTTTAAAAATCGTACCAACTCTAAATATAGAAGAAAAAGTCAAGAGGTAAGTAAATAACGAGTTTTCATATTCTCATATTGAAAATGCACGACATGCACTTTTACAAGTTGTTTGAACTGAAATGTGTGTTGGCAGTGTGTGTACACAACCACCCTATAATGATAAAGATCCACCCAGTGTTTTTTTTTTTAATCTTGTTAAATAATTTCCCCTTTCTCAAATCGAGCGGATCTCAGATGCCTGTCTGTGTGACGTCAAGTGAGTGTAAGGTTTTTTAATAAATCTTTACAAATCGCCTTTCCTTACAACGTGCTAGTTAGCAAGTTTCACGATGAATGTGGCTAAAGTTTACAATCTCTCAGTGACCGGCTCGGAAGAGAGGGGCGGGGCAAGCAGAGTTAATTTGCATTTAAAGCAGCATGCAAGAAAACAGCTTGCTCTGAAAAGAGCTGTTTTTGACAGGGTAAAAACGGTGTCGTTTTACACTACCATTGAGAAATTTTAACCAAACTATGTTACATAATTTTCATTAAAACCCTAAAGAATCATATCAACTTATGGAAAATGGCCATTCGATGACCCCTTTAAACATAATTCATCCTATTAACTTTTCTCCTATTCTATGATTCTTTCCTAAAGATTGAGTTGCATCGAATGAAGGATGGCAGAGAAATGAGTGACAACAAGGTTTTACAGTAGATTCAAGCATATAACGAGAGAAGAGCAAAGACAGAGACAATCAGAACAAGATGCGTACGAGATCTTGTACGAAAAGTACAAGATGCTCTTGAAGTGTCTTCTGCCTGTCTGTGTGTGTCAGTGAGTGTGTGTGGGAGGATTTTGAGGAGCGATCAGGCCACCCACTGATGCATTCGTCTCTCATCACAACTCGTCCGTCTCTCAGCGTCTCACTAATGGAAAGACGTTGATTTGAGGGGTCAGAAATGTGACTGATATTTCTGTTCTTCATCCTGTATAGATATGAGGGAATGTTGTTATGCCTGTTGGAAACCAGAAGACACTTTTCTTTGTCTTTTTATCTGAGAGGGTCATGTCATATAGTCAGTGTTTGAATGTCTGGAGGGTTTACAGTTTCAGTTCAGTGAAGATTAAGTCCAGTGGAAAGAGCGAATAAGAGAGGTTTTCTTTACTTTCAGCAGTTTTTCCAACAACATTTAACCCTATAAAGTGTACTGTATCATATTTGATACAAAAAAACCTTGCTGAACAGCCTGTTGTACACAATCTACTACATGCCTTCTGTTATCTGATTGATAGTTTATACAGGTGCATCTCAATAAATTAGAATGTCGTGGAAAAGTTCATTTATTTCAGTAATTCAAGCAAGTAAATGGCCTTTTGGTTTTATTACAAACGTCCGCCTTCAGCTTGTGCTTCACATGTCTTTTTGCTGTGAAATCTTTACTGATTTTTATAAAGTAAACACAAGGATAACTTATATTGTTAGTAATATTTCAAAATGAACAAATACTGAACTGAAGCAACTTACCTTACTTGATTATCCATCCATATATATATATTTTTTTTTAGTAAAATCATGTTCAAATGCGAGTCTCATATAGGATCATCAGGCTTTTATTTGTTCATCTCTCAGTCATCATTGTATTGCATTGCATTATATGTTTTGATCATAAAACTAAGCATTTAAATATCATCTTACTAAAACCAGTGTTGGGTTACGTAACTTGAGTTATGTAATCAGATTACTTTTTCAAGTATCTAACTAGTGAAGTAACGTGTTACTTTTAAATGTACAACGAAGATACTTTTTAAATAAGTAACGCAAGTTGCTTTATTTTCCCATTTATTGAGACTGACACCTCTTCTGTCACACTTAATAACTTTTGAGTTTTTTGTTATTGAAAAACAATTAAGCAAGCCCAGCCCAGTTAAGTAACAAAAAGTGTCTTATTTTCCGTAAAAAGTAACTAAATAATGCAAGTAGTTACTTTTTTATGGAGTAACACAATATTGTAATGCATTACTTTTAAAAGTTACTTTCCCAAACACTGACTAAGACTATATTATTGGGAGAACTCATATTTATATAATTTAATGTAATTAGTCTGTTATACTCTTATAAAGATCTATTTGAGTTACATTGCAAGCTTCAGAATTTCATCTCCATCACTTTTTGTCCATTTAAATATCAGCATCTGCACCAAATTGCATATTTTTGCTCAGTTATTCCTCTGAATAAAACTGCAGTGTTTTTCCTCTTTGAGTATGAGCTCTATATTCTCACTATATCATGCTATATGAGCCATAAAAGCCTGATGAATCAAATATAATACTCAACCAAAAATATGCACATGCATTTTTCAATAACGGTTCAATAAACTGTTCCATTTAAAAACAACAGTGTCAGGCTTAACAGGTTTAAGTATGCATGAATGACTTTTGCTGTGTTTGTATTATAAGTATTATACAAACTTTTTTAAAAAAGTGCATTAATGACTGAAATAGCTTATTAAATAACTTCTAGATGTGTCTGTTTGCATTCCCATGCACAGCTGCTTTTGAATAGTCATTAATGCAAAAAGATGCTTTTTGCCATCATATGTTGTTTGTAGTTGCGTCATCTACCAGCAGGAGATAACAGGGTCACGCTAACCACCTAATCTCGACCCCACGTTCCCATCGTTTCTGTTTGGTCTCTGGAGTCTGATAGAAGTTTATAGTAGTGCGCTGGAGTCCAAGGCATCTGTCATCCTCCTAGTTCTCATTCATACGCATACAGACGTCCAAACACACAGAGAGAGCTTTCCGTGTGCGCTTGTGTTTGCACGTAAATGAGTGATAAGGATGATGAAAAACAGTGTTTTTCAGGCAGGAGTAGGAGGACGTGACACGCTAGATTATTTAAACATCATGCATTCTTTATTTATGAGTCACGATATGTCAAAACATGTTTTACTCAGATGTGCGAGGCGGATTCTTCAGACGTATGGATGGGTTAGGGTTAGGTTAGGACTGGTGCATGCTGGGAAGACTCCCAGAATTCCTCATTCATCATCGTCTGGTCTGTCTCGCAGTCTCTTGACTTCACCTCCCTTTCCTGTCTTCTCTCTCCATCATAAATGCATCGTTTTGTATTTGGAAAACTGGCAGGTTTTCATGTTCCATCTTTGTCTGCTTACGTATATACTTTATAATAATTTCATAACTGAGTCATTTAATAATGTTTTATAATAGTTTGAGTCACAGGCCAGGTACTTTGTTAACTGGGTAACATTTTCAGCGCCTTGTTTTACACTGAATTAAAGCCATCCTGTATCTTTCTCTTCTCTCGTAGTGTGCAAGGTGGGCTACTACAGGTCTCTTTCTTCGGATGGCGGCTGTCGTAAATGTCCACTGCACAGTTACTCCATGAAAGAAGGAGCTACTTCCTGTGATTGTGACAAAGGATATTACAGATCGGAGACGGATCCTGCCGCCATGCCTTGCACACGTGAGTTAAACACAAACATTCGCACCAGTTTGAAGTGCGTTTACCATGTTTTTTGGACACTATGGTGGTGATTTATATGGGTGTTTAAGTGACTTTTTCACTATGTTACTTTTACTAAAATGTATAGACTCTTAGACTTGTCAAATATTGTGGTTTCCATTTTATAAGCATTTTAAACCTGTAAAGCCTGACATAATAGTCTGAAAAGTCTGATTTTTTTAAATGGAACAGTTTATTGAACCATTGAACAAAATCTAAAAATGCAATGATGATTGAGAGAAGAACAAATAAACTTTCCCTGATGATCATATTTGATACCCACATTTGAACATGATTTTTCTAAAAAATTATGTATGGATAATTAAGTAAACCTAAGTTGCTTTAGTCCAATAAGTGTTCATCTTGAAATATTACTATCAATATAAAACTTATCTTATGTTTACTCTATAAAAATCAGTAAAGATTTAACTTAAGGCATTTGAACCACAAGCCGAAAGTGGACCTTTTTTTTTTTTGCAATTATACTAAAAGGCCTTTTACTTGCTAAAAAAGTAATACTATCAATCAGACGTCAGAAGGCATGTAGTAGATTGTGTACAACAGGGCATATTGATAATTAAGAGGACATCAAATATGATAGAGCAGGCTTTATAGAGTATAATCCAGATGTTCCCCCTTGACTATTGAACAATCTATAGCTTCATAATGTAATGTTTTCCTTAGATTAAAAAAAAAAAATGTATTGTACTAAATTAATTACTAAATATATGACAAATGAGCTGAAAAGTATATTGTCTGAAAAAATTAAATATACAGAAATAACTAAAAGATAGCAAACATTCTAATAGAATGTTGTGCACGGGCATGTGGTTATTTCTGTTTACATCCTTTTATGCGCAGCAGATGTTCCTCACATCAAATAAATGAATTTAAATGAGACCGTATCGGTCTCACTCTACCAGCTGTCTGTCTGTCCTCTTTCTCTCTCTCTCTCTTCCATAATAATGACCAGCTCTATCTCTTTGTAGAACAGACGCTGTTTGTCTTCTCCTTCTGTTCTTGTTTTTTCCCCTTATTTCTTCTGTCTATCTTCTTTCATCCTACTATTCAGAGTGGATGGAAAGTTTTAGAGTACGCAAAACGGTACTTGCATAAGTACACAAACACACACACACACACAAAGTAACAAAACAGAACTGTGGAAAAAACAAATAAAATTGTAGCTGTAGCTCATCCAATCAAATCATTGCAACTGACATAATTCTGATTTAGAATAAATATTTACAATAAAATCTATAGGTAATATGTAAATTCCCATTATGTAAGCTATACAGTATATATATATATATATATATATATATATATATATATGGGGTAATAAATATCAGTATTGTGAAATATTACATTTTAAGATAAGCTTTTCTATTTCAACTGTTTTCTATTTTTGAAATGTAATGTAACTTAAATAAATGTTTTGGCAAACCTTTATAAATCATTCTAGTATGCTAATTTGGTGCTCAAGAAACATTTTTACATAATAATAATAATCATTAATATTATTAGTGTTGAAAACAGTTGTGTGGCTTAATATTTTGTGTAAATCATGTTGGTTTGTTCAGGATTCTTTGAGGAATAGAAATTTCAAAAGAACAGCTTTTATTAGAAAATTTCAATCTTTTGTAACATTATAAATGTCTTTATTGTCACTTTTGATCAATTGAATGCATCCTTGCAGAGTAAGTGTATTAATTTCTTTAAAACACTGTGTGCTTATAATTTTTCATTTAATGTTTATTTAACTTTTTTGTGTTTTATTTTAATGTTATGAATAAACTTTTGTTTTGTGCCCATGTAAGTTCCAAATAAAATGAGATTATAATATTATATTAAATAATATAAAAATGTAATTTAATTTTCCCTCCATTGCAACATTGTTATGTAAATATAATTACATTTTTCATGGTATTCCCAGCAAAGCAGCCTGTTTTAATATAAGGATTATGCACTTAAAGTTCTTTCTCTCTGTGTTTATCGCAGATCCTCCATCTGCTCCTCACAATCTGATTTCTAATGTCAACGAGACGTCGGTGCTGTTGGAATGGAGTCCGCCTATAACCTCCGGAGGCCGTCAGGATCTCACCTACAACGTGGTGTGTAAGCAGTGTGTGCGAGACACGCAGAGATGCACGCCGTGTGGAGATGACGTGCGATACTCTCCGCAGCGGCTGAGTCTGCGCTCCACGCGGGTGTCCGTTCACCAGCTGCAGGCGCACACAAACTACACCTTCCAGATCTGGGCCGTCAATGGGGTGTCCAAACACAGCCCCAGTCTGGAGCAGGCCACGTCCATCACGCTCACCACCAACCAGGCCGGTGAGTGTGTGTGTGTCCAAACATGCTCAGATTTAATCAAGCATCATGTCTGCATGTAATTACGCAAGTGAAATTGAACCACATGAAATGTTTTCACTGAGGATTAGATGAGAAATATAGTACATTACCAGTCAAAAGTTTGGAATATTTAATTTTTTTTTTTTATGTTTGTAAAAGAAGTCTCTTCTGCTCACCAAGGCTGCATTTATTTGATTAAAAACAAGTAAAAACCAGTAATATTATTACAATTTAAAATAACTGTTTTCTATTTTAATATATTGTAAAATGTAATTTATTGCTGTGATCAAATCTGAATTTTCAGCATCATTACTCCAGTCTTCAGTGTCACGTGATCCTTCAGAAATCATTCTAATATGCTGATTTAATATGCTGGAATAAATGATATTTTAAAATATATTCAAATATAAAACAGTTCTTTTCAATTGTAAGAATATTTCACAATATTACTCTTTGTAATTTTGATCAAATAAATACATCCTTGGGGAGCATAAGAAACTTCTAGGGATGCTCCGATCAGGATTTTTGCCGCCAATACTGAGTACCGATTTCTTGTCATGGTGATCGGCCGATAATGATGCTTCAAGCTTTATATAGACGGTTTCAATGGGCGCACGCGCCTGGCCCGAAGTTAACTTCCGGTCTGTGTTTGTTTATCAGTCTGGCTATGGCACTGGCTACAAACGCAGTTAAAGTTAAGGTGATGAGTAGACTGAAGTTGGGCTCAGGTGGTTGTGCTGTGGGATGTGTTTCCCATACATTTATTTATTTGTGGCACCCACCACAATATCAAAACTGACAGGTTTTCCAAAAGGCTTCGTTGAATAAACATGAGCACGTACTGCACGTTTAAAAATCAAAACGTATTTCTGAAGGAAGACTATCTTTAGAAAATTTTCGATGTCATTTTCATTTCATCTTGCATGTTATGTGCCTGATAAAGCAGCGTTTGTGAACTCAGCACTGCTTTGTGTACAGCGGTTACTGGGGAAACCTCTGTTTTTGTTCTGTCCTCCACGCTGTGACAACTCACAAAAGACTATTTTTAACCAAGCAGTGTGGAGAGCCGCTTCAGAAACGTGCCGCGGCTGGCTGATAAACACAAGCACTGACTAGAGCGGCCGCGATCACCTCCGGTGGCCGTGGAGCCATAACGCGCCACAGACGCGTGTAGAGAATTTTTCATTGTTTCTTGAAACGTCATAACATTTCCACACCGGCGATGACATGACTGCGGCGCCAAATCATTTATGATTTCACGTGTTGACGACATCAAATTGCGATCGGTTCCTGAGATCGGCCAAGTTGGTGAGTACCGATCGAGTCATAAAATATGATTATCGGCCGATACCGATCTCTGGCCGATCGATCGCAGCATCCCTAGAAACTTCTTTCAAAAACATTCAAAAATCTTAATTATTCTGAACTTTTGACCGTAGTGTACTATATTTCTCACCTAATCCTCAATGAAAACATTTCACAAGGTTCAATTTCACTCACATAATCACCTACGGAGAACTTCTGTATGACCTTTCTGCTCCATTACAAACACACACATGCATGTAGAGCGTCAAAACGCTATTTTGATTCATGGCAGTGTGTGTGTGTGTGTAGTTGTGGATGTGTGATACGCGGTCTGTGCTCTTGATGGTGTCTTGGGTTTCTTTCGGAATGGAGCGTTAGCTAGAGATCCGGATCTTTCTGTGACAAGCCAAGCCTGTAAATCATCCTGAGGGATTGGAGTGTGGAGTTTAGGGTGGAGGGTGGGGTTTTACCATGCAGTGATGTGCCTTTGGCTATAGAACAGAGGACCTGATAACATGTGTCCTACTTAGTCGTGCGCTGGGCGGTCATGAGAGCATATTTAGAATAACTAACATATACCTCTTAACGTAGATGCTGCTGTCACAATGTTTAGTTCTCATAAGACAAAACACAATATATTCATGCTGTCGGAGTGAAAAATATAAAGTCAGATAACAATATTTTAAAAGTTTCAGAAGGAAAGAGAAGTGCTAGTGGAGGACGTAGAACCTCCTGAACTGTGCTAAAACTTACTGTAGCACGCTGTTGCTTTTTATTAATCTTAGGGAACAGCAGTACAATAAAAGACACTAATGTTCACCTTTCAAATCATTCGAATGCATCTAATAATTGTAAAAACACTACTTTTATATTATAAATTAAATGACTGTTTGCCAACAACCGATGCAGCATTATGAGACTTTTTGAAAGGATATGCAAATAAAAATCTTAAAATGCTAAATAATTACATGTTTGCACTTATTTTGAATTAACCTTTGCTATCAAATTAAGTCTAATCAATATAAATTATTATTATTTAATTGATCAAATGTGTATTTGAGCAATAAAGCCATGTATCACTTGTCTGCTGGGTATTTTAACTTTTATATACCACATAAAACAATATTATTAAAAATAATTTATGTAAACATACAAAATATATATATATTAAAAGTATAATTAAAATATATTATTAAAGTCAGTGTGAAACACATTTTCTCACACACATTTAAACAATATATATAATATTAAATATAGCATAATATTTAGATAATAATAATATTTTAATATATATTTATATATTTTTATTTAAAATAAAATAAAATAATAATAAGTCTCTTATTCTCAGCAAGGCTGCATTTATTTGATAAAAAATACAGTAAAAAAGTAATGTTGTTAAATTAAATATTTTCTGCTTTATATATTTATACTTTTTTAAATGTCATTTATTCCTGTGAATGCAAAGCTGAATTTTAAGTAGCCATTCCTCCAGTCTTCAGTATATTCTGTACCATTTCAGTGTGTATATATTTTATATTTATGTCTCATCCAATCAAATTTTAGAGTCATAACTATTAATTTGATGGATTTTGAATATTCTCAGAAGTGGGTTTATAATATTTATTATAATTTTTCACATATAGTCACAGTTCACAGGGATGCCACAAAACTTCACACCACATGCGAAGTACAGTATATCCCAGCATGCACTAAAGGCGTTAAATGAACCATATAGCATGATGTTCCTAAATCAGTTTTACCGAATCTTAACGTGCTTGAGTGTTTGTGATGAACGAGTGCAGATTCTCATCTTTCCTTAATGTTATCTCAGCCAGACACACACACACACCCACAACTCCATTACAGCCCATATCTGTCAGAGCAGACGGCATGATGGATGTATGTTAGAGATGAGTGTGTTAGATGGGTGAAGGGGGGCCGGTGACCCCTGTGTTTTTGGCTGGAGGGGGCCGACTCAGAGTCCCCCCGAGGGACAACCCTAAATCACGTTTAGTCTGTCGGGCCTGGCAGAGGAAGACGGATCTTTGAGATGAGAGAGGGCCGCCGTCGAGCTGCTGCTACAGCTGGTGGGGGATCGAATTGTTTAACAGACTCACACACACACACTCGCTAATGCACTGAGATGAAACTCTACTTCAGCATTTGAATTCTGGATGCCTGTAGATAGGCCAACAATGAATGTTTTCTAGGCTGATTGTGGGGTAAAATTGATTTAAATATTGTTGGTTCACAATTAATCTAAGTAAACCCTAAAATCGCGAGTTGGTTTAATGCAAAGGCTGCAATTTAGTTAATTTAATATATGTGCTGCATGTTTCATGAGTAAAGCGCAGCACTGTGTCCATCGGCTCTTGACAACAAAAGAGATGCTGTTTAATTTTTTTCTGCCAAAATAAAAGCTCAATGGTTTAATTTGAAAATGAAGAAATTAAAACAGCCATAAATGTTAGTATTGCCAATTTTAGTGTACAATATTATATTAATATATAATAATATTCATATTATTTTTATAAAATGCCTGTTGTTAATAAAAGAGATGCTCTATGGGTTCCTTGCGTTTTTGTTGTTGTTGTTTTTTGCCAGAATAAAAGCTAAATGGTTTAATGTTTGAAAATGAAGGAATAAAGACAGCCATCAAAATTTGTATTATCATTTTTAGTTATACATTAAAAAAATAAGAATATTATTATATTATTATTTTTCTTAAATAGATTTTTTTTTTTTTACGGTGAAATATTAATATTTCTTGTTTTGGTTCAAATTGAAATAATAATGCTACTTTTTCTTCTTTTTATTAATATTAATATTTTATAGTCTTATAAAGTTTTATTGTTTTAATATTTAATATTTTATAGTCGTATTGATATATAATCACAAAATATTTGGTAAAACTGTGCAACCCTACAGGCAAACTTTTTTAACACATTTTTAATCATAATCATTTTTATCAGAACAATTGTAATTAGATTTTGTTTCTCCAAATCGTGCAGCCCTACTCTATATGGTCAAATATGTTACATTGAGCAAGTAGTATATTTTATTGCTAGCTGAAAGCCTCATCATGCTAGTTTGTTTAGCCTACATCTTTTGAAGAAAATATGAGTTTAAAACTCTTATTTAAGACTCTCCGCCATGTTGTCAGGGTGTTGTTAGTGGTTTTTAGGGTGTTGGGTGGGTGGTTGCTAGGAGATTGCCTGAGGTCACTGGTTGGTTGCTAGGTAGTTTTTATATAAAAAAACACAGAAGAATATTATGGGCATGCACATTTTTTTGTTTGGCACTTTGATTTTCAGTTTTCAGTCGACTAAAACACTGTTTACATATGGAAATGAGGTCAGAACGCTACATTTTCTGAAACATTGTGACCTTAGAGTTTGATGTTTGTTCAACGGTAAGTATGAGCAATTGTAATAGTGATGCAAACTTAGCAAACACCACTAATTAGCCAAAATACACACGAGACAATGTGTAGGACTTTGCCAAAGACAGCATTTGAATTCTGTGGAAATATGCAGAGCTTTCTGTGGTTCTGATATCTAGAGTTGTTCTGTTTGGTAGAGGAAACTAATACATAGAGATCTTTTCTCTGTCTTCTTCCTTTGCATCCATCAGATCCGTTTTCACTTTCTTTTGCTGTTTTTCTCTTTTTGCTTATTGTGTTTTCATGTCTTTATATCTCTGTTGTGTCTGTTTCTGAGTCTGTTTGACTTTCTCACCCTCAACAAAAACAGCTTCAGGGGAAAAAAAACAAACAGACAATAGCGGTCTTAACTCCAAATCCACAGTTTAGAAGAAGAAAATGCTCTCCTTGTTTTCCAGGTTTATCCTTTTTCTTTCTGTATGTCTGTGATGTGATAAAAGAAAGACAGAAGTGTCAGGAAAACCTGACAAAAGTGCAATTTAGTAAGCATGAACCTTAAATAAATATATGAACTCTTTCTGTCTCTCCTCAGCTCCGTCCACGGTCATGATGGTTCAGAGTAAGGACATCACGCGCCACACGCTCTCTCTGTTCTGGGACAAACCCGAGAAACCTAACGGTGTCATACTGGAGTATGAGGTCAAATACTACGAGAAGGTGAATGTTCTTGTTTTGTCATGTTTTTAAGACATAGTTCACCCTAATATTTTGGGTGTGCTGTTCCTTTAAGATGTTATTGTTCAAACACACAACAGCAATCCCTGTGGACATTTGCTGTCTGGATAAACAGGAAGTGAGGTTTTTATTAGGGTTAAAATATCCCCCTAATGTGCCCTTTGACTTCTTACCTTCCTCTCGGCTTCCGTTCTCTGTCTCTCTCCTTATTTATGAATCTCAGGATCAGAACGAGAGGAGTTATCGCATCGTAAAGACGACGTCTCGTAGTGCTGATATTAAAGACCTGACTCCGCTGACTTCCTACGTGTTTCACGTGCGCGCTCGCACCGCCGCGGGATATGGGGAGTTCAGCGCCCCCTTTGAGTTCAGCACCAACACTGGTGGGTGTCGAATTCATATGTGCTTATTTGAGTAAGAATGATCTAGAAACAGCTTCACATATACTCAACAGATATAATAAATACCTAATATAAAAAAACAACATGCTGCTTCCACAATTAGGCCTGGGCGATAAAACGGTATCGATATTTATCGACAGTACACCTTCTTCGATAACGATAGAAAAAATGTTCGATATAGTGCAGGATATAGGCACGTTGCTATGAGTGACGCAGACAGCACACACAAACACGAACACATGCTGAAATGAGTGCTGTGCCTGCCTGTGATGAGGAGATTGTGAATAAAGAATGAATATTAGTCGAATTTAAAATAAACATTTGCATTTGAATGCTAGGTGTGCATCAGGGAGCGTCATCAGTGGCGCGCGAGATGCGGTGATGATGTAAGTGACGTTGTAGCATTTTAATATTTTGTTAGTCTAGCCTACGAGACGCGCCGCTGCTGCGTTATTCTTTCAGAATATTAGAGAAATATAGTAGATCAATGCTTAGAAGATCTTGATTAGGTTAAAACCAAAACCAAGCCATTCACACAGAACGCATATTCAGTGCATTTTTTAGACGGACAAATACGACTGCTGCACTCGCGTCTCACACAAGAGATGTACAGAAAGCCATGCAAAGTTAAAACAGTTTAAACGTTTTGAAAACATGTCACGAATTTGTGGAGGTTTATTCCTTTTCACTGCATCTCATATGTTTTTAAATGCAATCTGTGTGAATGGCGCTTCGGCTCTTTGGATTAAGCAATGCATAAATACATGATGCTGTTTTGTTAATATAATAATAATTATATATATATAATAATTGTTTATGCAATTTACAAAATTATATTTGATTTTTATTAGTTAATTTAGATGTAATGCACTTTTTTTTATAGAGTTACTTCCTTGCGTTGACAATTTAAATGCACAGCATTACTTTACTCATTGCGCCCTCCTGTGGCCTCGGGAGACAAGGCAAAAGTTTCCTTAAGACCTATTTAATCTGCATAGAAAACATTAGAAATTTTATATTTGATTTTTATTTTGTGTTTGTTAAAACAAAAAATATTTGTTGTTTGCCTCAATAATTTGGGTTAATTTAAAAATACAGTGGTTAAATTAAAAAAAAAATTATATTGCTCTTTGTTTTAAAAAAGGTTATAAAAATGTCAATAATTATCGATACCGAACGATATGAAACATTATATCGTTGATACATTTTTTAGCTATATCGCCCTATCCACAATACACTATGCACTTATACACTATGTACCTATGTGCTATGTACTCAACCGTGTTGTATAGGAATCATATGAGGTTATTTTGTCATTCAACTTTGGAGTCTGATAGCTCCTCCCCCTTTGTTTTTCGGTTATTTAAGTGTGTCATTCGGGTATTTAAATTGAATTTTCAGTGTGAATGCACTACTCGCACTATTTATAGTACGGCATAGAATAGTGCATAAGTATGTGGATTAGGACACACAATACTCTCTTTAAAATATGCTGCATGATTTGAAGAACTCTAATTGTGTCTCTCTCAGTCGCAGCTCCTGTTGTTGGAGGAGTCATTAGCTCTGCTGTGCTGCTGCTGTTGGTGGCCGGATGTGTTGTTGTTCTCCTCCTCACCCTCATCATTACCTTCATCATCACCAAAAGGTGACAGAACATCCAGTATTTTTTCCATGATGACAGGCCAGTGTTATTAATGTTAATTGAAACTAAAAAGTAATAAAAATGTTGAGGCACTAAAATTAATAAAACTGAAATAAAAATAAATTAAAACTAAATAGAAATATTTAAAAACTCAAATTAATCAAAAAAGACAAAAGCACATAACAAAATTAATAAAACTAACTACAATTAAAATATAATATGAATATCATTTTAAAAAACTTCTTTATATGTGTAGGTGTAAAATATTAAATTAGAAGTTATTTTATTTATTTATTTTTTAAATATATGTTTGTATATGTATGTATTACACTGCCCCGCATCTTGAAAAAAAATCTGCTAATTTGCTTAAAGTATTAGCTAATTTCATGATGCTGAGTTCACAAATATTAATAAAAAACTTTTCATTATGTAGTTTTTTTTTCACAACATAAGAATGAAGAATTTAAATTAGTTATATGTATCAGCTTTAATGCACTTATCAAAATAACAAAAGCAGTCAAATGTCAAAAGTTGTGAAGTATTCAAAAGCCAATTCACAATATGAATAAATACTATAATAGTGTATAAATAATAGTAAAATACCACTGTGATTGATAGATAAATAAAATAATAAATGCTGAAAAATTGTGAATATTTTCATCTCAGGAGGAGCAAATACAGCAAAACTAAACAGGCAGAGGAGAAAAACCTGCAGCCAGGTAAGAAAACACCTTTCATCAGTCTTCAGCTGGACCACAAAATGAAACTTTTCTGTTCTCAAAGCTTCTGTTAATGTGCCGGTAGGGGTGAGAATATATGTGGACCCTTACACCTACGAAGACCCCAACCAGGCCATCAGGGAGTTCGCTAAGGAGATCAATACCTCCTGTATCAAGATCGAGAAGGTGATCGGCATCGGTGCGTTAACGGCCCTTTTGCATTGTTAGCAAGTCATTTATTGATGATAGATGCATGTAAAAGTCACTTCCTGTCTCTGTAGGTGAGTTTGGAGAGGTGTGCAGCGGCCGTCTGAAGCTTCCTGGAAAGCGAGAGATCTGTGTGGCCATCAAAACGCTGAAGGCGGGGTTTACCGAGCAGCAGAGGCTGGACTTCCTGAGCGAGGCCAGCGTGATTGGCCAGTTTGACCATCCTAATATCATTCACCTGGAAGGCGTGGTCACCAAATGTAAGTTTAAAGCTGACATCATAGATTTTTATTTGTATCCTTCCATATATATATATATATGCAATTTTTTATATTTAAATATAAAAGAGTTTACAATATTTATAGTAAATTTATAATGTATATATTACACAGCCCATCTTGGGGAAAAAAGATGATTTGCAAAGGTGACCTAATATTACCTATTTTGATGATGCTGAATTCAAAAATATCAGCATTTAGTTTTTTTTTCTATATGTGTGTGTGTGTGTGTGTGTCAGCTTTCATGCACTCATCAAAATAACAAAAGTAGTCAAATGTCAAAAGTTTTGGTTTTAATTACAAAAAAGAAATATTCAAAATGTATCATTTAACTTACATTCTGCAAAGGAGTGGAAAAGTGGAAATCAGGATCAAATCAGTATCATAAAATCATGTCTTCAGAATCATTCATACATTTGAAAATGGGCTGAGAATTTAACAAACAGTTGTAATCTGACTCAGAGGAAGATAGGAATCATGTCAGCAGTTTTTCTGCTTATTAAGGGTTAATACGAGATGTCTTCATATTAGAAATGGTTGTCAAAAGTAAAATGCATCATATTTTGTGAGAAAGTGTGACGTGCTCGAGCAAAACAGCTAAAATATTTTGAAATCAGCACCCAAAATTAGTGAGAACCAAGTATTGAATTTCATTCAGAAAATATGATGCATTATTAAAAGACATCAAGGGCTTTTCTTTATCTTCTTCAGTCATTTTTAGTTTGGGATGTTTTGAAGAGGTTCGACTTGCCTTAAATATTAGTTTTGAGTACATGTTATGTCAGAATTTCCTACTTGGAAACATTGTGAAATTCAGGGATAGAGCTGATAAAATTCTCAGAAATTCTAAACAATTAACTATTATGCAAATAAAATGCCTCAAAGAGTCAAAATCCTTATGTTTCATGTTAATAAAAACCTGTTAATGCTTCTGAGAATTAGACAGCAGAATGCTATGGTCAGAAGTCGGGATATTAAGTGTGCATAAAGCCACTAAAGAAACAGGCTGCTGATAGAACATGTTTTCCTTTTGATGTGCTAATGGTCGTGTGTGTTTATGTATGCATGTCCAGCTTATCTGTGTGTTTGCTTGCTGAGCGTGTCTTGACAAAAACTGCTATGAGATGCACACACACACAACCTTGTGGTCTCCAGATGGAGTGGGTCGCTCTGGACGGCTAATGTGAGCTAAAAAGCACAGCAGACTCATTAATCACGTCGTCAGATTTAAATGTGTTTGGGGTTAGAGAGTCACCCTATATCTCTAACCTACAGCCACTGCTCTGTGTGTGTGTGTGTGTGTGTGTGTGTGTGTGTGTGTGTGTGTGTGTGTGTGTGTG